TGATGACACTTTGTCTGAGCTGGACGAAATGCGGTTACTTGTTGCTTCGACTTTGTTTTGATTGCTGTGGTCTGAGTCTTTTTGAGTTATCTCTAAGCTGGGTAGGAAGTTGGTGACGATTGCGTTGCCCTTTCGGCCGCTCGAGTCCCATGCTCGGTGATGAACTATGAAGTTCTGAGGGCTGGAACCTCCTTCATCCTATTTCGAGCTTCCAATTGGCTCTGTGTTAGGAATGTGGAGTTGATGCTCGATTTGGTGATACCTTCGAATTCTGGTGAAGGTTGTTTATGGTCGATTGCTTGCAGGTGATAAACCACTGATGCTTGTTGTACTGCTGAAACATTGATGTTTGTCGCTTATGAGAAAAGAATTTGCTGTTGCTGTGAACTGCGTTGATGCATTTGGAGTGGCAGTGATGGCCTATGAGTCTGAGCCGCGCTAGTGCTTCCGTGCTTGCAAATGCTTGTTTGCAGCTATTTGTTGTTGCGCTGATGTGAAGCTATACTGTTGTGTTTTTTGCTCTTCTGTAGGTGCTTGTTATGTTTTCTGCACTGTTGGGGCATACTGCTGTTACTGCTGTTTGTTGAAACACGGGCTTGTCACCGTTGCTTGCGAGTGCTAAAATACCTGTTGTCGCTTGTAAAAGTTTGCCTGTTGTTGTTTGCAACTGACATGTTTCCTCTTCTTCTTTTAGGATGCCGCCCGAAGCTCAGAAGCTGCCGGTTCCGCGCCGTTTGCCGAGAAAGGTTTGAAGGCGATGATGACTTTGTGTCTGAGCCTATGAGGGATTTGAAGAGTGTTGCTGTGATGATGATTTATCTGAACTAAATGCAGTCGTGGCCTTGATTCTCCTTATGCTTTTGCATAGCGTTGAGCTGTTTGAGATTAATTGCTTCTTGTCCGAATTCTGCTGCCTTCGACGCTTGGTAGGGAGTTGGTGGCGACTCCGGTTGTCGCCCTCCTGGCCGCTCGCGATTCTTCCCGATGATGACTTAACTGAGGGTTAAAAATAACTTAATTAATCTCTTTATTCTCGAACTGTGCTTCAAATTGACGACATTTGATTATGGGTTGCAGGTGGCTCGTACAGCTGATCCGAAAGTGCGTCTGGAATCAATATTGCCGGAGGACTTGTTGGCATTTTGACTGATGTTGTTCAATTATGTAGGTTATGGCGGCTGTGGTTTGAGGAATGAAGGGCCTTGACTGTTTTTAGTAGGCGGTTTGTATTGTGGAGGGAACTTGGAGAACTGTTGCGGGATGAGGAGGTGAGATTGCCTGGGATAAAATAGATTGTGCCCAGAGGTTATTAATTGGGAGCCTTCTTAATCATAGGAGATAAAAGGTAACAACTCTCATCCTGTTCTATATAATGAACCAAACTTTGTCAAGGCCCTCGAGTGATTATGCCAGAATATCCAATGTTGACTTCTATCTCAAATGGCAGGTATCGTCACATCAATGCAGCCGGTAAGTTACTACTCTATCAACATCTTTGGCTACGAAACTTCAGCATCTGAGACAGAACAAGAACCTAAACTATTTCCAACGGTCTCCTTTTCTTTTTATTCGAGTGGGTGATTTCCTTTATGCCGTAGAGTGAACAGAAGTTGTACACCAATTTTGCTAGCTACAGTTTTGAAATGGACTCATGAGTTGCTGTGGTGGGCCGTATAACTCGCTTGGCTTGTCCTGGTGTGTTTGCGAATTTCTTGAACTGGTTTTCATAATTGTAAACTTTCCTTTTATATTAATTGTGTTTATTCATTTTCTCACCACAAGTAGATACTAACCAAAGGAAACAGCAGGGCGAGGTGTGAAGATGGTACAGGCTTCTGGTTGGCTAAACATCTGCGGCGAAACCGTTGGAGTAGAATTCTTAACCAACATCGGCGAAAAAGTAAATGGGCTTAGGAGGCAATTAGGATTTTATTTGAGTTATCTCTTGTACAGGTCATGATATGATTAAGTACATCCCGTTACTAATAGCTGCATCAGTTGTTTTCTTGGCTAAATATATACTACTTCCTAGCAAGAAACCTTGGAATTCCATGATAAGGCATTACTCGGGCTATCAAGAATCAGAATTGTGTGAATGTGTTGAGGGACTGCATTTGTTGTACTGCAATGGCTATCATAATTCACCTTCCGTTATTTTCATCCTTCATATTCTTTTCGTATTCATGTGAGTTTGTTATTCTGTGAAATATGTAGAGAGCTCCCTTTTTGTCTTTTGATTTTTATTCTTGTTATAGATATGATTGATCTATTGACTGGTCATGATATGCCATTCTTCACAAAGAGCAAGTTTGACTTTCCTTTCCTTGCAATGTTTAAAGGCAAAAAACTGATATATATCAATCTCAGCAAGAAGAATATCAATGGCCCAGAGGTCTTGTAAATTCTAGTTGTTTCCTGCGCTCACAATCTTCTAACAAACAAACGCTAATTAAATGTTAGAAAGAGATTATAGAGCTCTTCTTCACCTGGTCTTAATAAACTTACAAGGGACAATTATATATAAAAGACAAAATAATTAAAAAGGAGTAACTCATTAAAACAAAAGGAATAACTATAATTAAAACAAGTACCAATAAACCCTTAGTTTGTCTCAGGTCAAGACCGCTTGGTCGTACCCTGAAACATTTAACTGTCAAGAGTACCATCTGTCTGATATCGAATGCATCTGCGTAAGCTGCTTAATCTCAAAAACATAAATATTAAATTAAAGTCAAAATAGCAATAAAAAACGCAAAAAGAGGTGGGATCTTAAGGTCAAAAATTAGGGTGCGACACGTCCGACTGGTCTCCTTTTCCCCTGTCGTCGAGTAAGTCCCAGTCCGCCCGAGGAGCTTCTCACACCTTCCCCAAGTTCTCTGCGTGTCCCCTACGCGGAGACACGTTATTAAGTAACTACCCATATCCTGAGGATTCAGTCTTCCACCTTCCAGATCACACGGAACAGTTATATTATGGCGAATACCACATGTTGGTCTTCACGATGCCACGTCAGCCTTAGTAGTTACCCACGTTGGGCCTGGCAACCCATCCAAACGCAGAGTAACCGTTGGCCATGCGCTGGGGGATCATTATAAATACCCTCTTCCACTAGAGGATCAGATAACTTAACTTTCTTACTCTTCTCTCTGTGCTTGTCCTTACTCTACTCGTCACTTACTTTGGCATCGGAGTGTGTTTCAGGTACACCCCTTCCATCCATCAAGTCAACAGTTCGACAGCTCAGACGCGTGGCAGCCCATCGATCTCTCTGGTCAGGTACAATCAATAATAATTGTCTAGTGAATGTTTAGACTCTCTTCATCAGTACAACCATTATCACCATAACTGCCAATCCCATGAAACTTCCTCCCCATCAAATTTTTATAATCCATGAAATTGCCTCCACCACCATCAACTAAAGATTTGTCTTTCTCAGCTGTTGGGAATATGTTCGTAAAGAAATTGGACATTCTGCTAACCATTTCAGTAACTGTAAGCTTCATATTCTGCAGAATACTCATAAAATTAAAAGCATTTCCCTCCTTTTTCTTAGGAGTTTCTACAGTTTCAGAACAACAAAAGCAGCACCATTTGATGATTATACTACAGCTGCAAAATCAACCATTGAAACACAATTTGCATGAGAATTCTGCACAAAAGATAAAAGAAACCCAAAAAGGTAAATATAAAGAAGGGAATGAAAGTCCTATTAAGACAGCTCAGTAGCTGCGTAGGAATATCATAGTGCAGGGGCACGGGTTCGAACCCGAGGCACCCTACTTATTCACCTTCCAAACACTAGGCTTGTTGACAAAAAAAGCATGGAAAATAAGAGACCGGTTAGGTAATGATTACCTGCTAGTTGTGATTCGAAGAAACTAGTGACTGCAGTGTTTTGCATGACAACACTCCATATATTAGGGTCACAAGCAATTGATTGCATAACAGTCTGGTTAAGGCCAAAGAAAAATGAATAATATCAATTGAACAAATGATTTCAAACCATGACTTAATAAACATATTTAGATATATACTCATGACTAACAAGATTACTAAACTTCTAATGGTATGATATTGAACAGTTCTTATCTAGACATTAAAACAAGAGTATATTACCTAGGCCTTAGGACTTGTGCTAAGCAATTGAAAAACATGAATGGCATGCTTAGGCACTGAAGGACTTGAAATAGCCTCAACAAGACAATATTTTGTCCCAGTTTCCTTAGGAGGAGGAGACACAACAGAGACTTACCAAGAGATGAACTTGAGAATAACCAGATGAAAGGTAAATTCCGAAGAAAATAATATAATACTATTATAATAGACATGTAACAGCATATCCAAGATAGTCAACCAAAAAAATACAGTGGGGTTCAATAATAATAATATATACATAATAAAATGTAACTAAATTAGCCAACAACTTTATCAGAAACAAAACTAAATACTCAAATTGAACCTACTGAGAAGACACCAGAATCATGACACTTGACACCAATAATAATTTGAAAAAACGAATAAATTAAACGTATCACAAGTGTCGGTGTTGGTTAGAGGCGTCAATGCTACAGAGAACTCCAGTAACAATATCTATAGAGTAAAATAAGACAAACTCAACTCTTAAAAACTTTATAAAAATATATCTCATCAAATATAGCATTCTCAACCGAAAGATAAAAGAAAAATCTCCCATAGTGTTTGGAAAATCTGATTTACAGATGTTAGACAAACCCTACCATAAATCACAGGAAATTAAACGGTTGATTCTAAAAGTTAATTTGTTATTAACAATTTTTTATTTTTTTATCAATAATAGAAGGTAGCTTAAATCAGCTTAAAACCTTTAACTATTATAATCAATCACAAATAGCATAGCATAAGAGTGAAAATTTTCAACAACAAAAATCCTAACTCAGTAAAATGAAGATTTCAAATTTCAAAATTGAAATTGAAAAACAGAAATACATGAAATTGAAAGCAAATATATGCAAAAAAAAATTTTACTGATCAATAGCGTCCTTCAATTCTGCGGTAGCTTCCTGTGCTTCCCTAAAGGCAAGGACACCGCCGAACATCACTCTTGGCGTGGGATCTCCGCCGGTCATGAACAGATTGCCTTCATCGGTGAATTCCCAGTCAGACAAATCCCCTGACACCGTCGTATGCAGTGGCTTCACCTCAGAGTCTTTTGCTCCTTGCGTTGAAAATCTGGTTGGTGATGACGTACGAGATGCGTTGCGAACCGGCTGCTCAACCGAGTACGTAGCCGGTGTTCCTCTGAAGCCTGACCTAGCGACGCTAAGGCCGACGAGTTTGGATATCGTCCTCATGGATCCTCCACCGTCCATTATCCAATCAGATATTTGTCGAATTCAACATTGGTTGATTATGTGAGAAAAAAACTGGGAGGGATATCTCTGCAATTATGTAAACTCCATATTTAATTTTTATTAAAAAAATCATTAAATAAAATCTCAATGAAATAAGACAAATGGCCATTTCTGAATCATCCATCTCACTTGGCTACCAGTACCCCTGCAAAACAATAGGGTACTTAAGAATTTGCCTAAGTTTAATTATAGGCCGAAATGATGATTTAATGAACAAGACATTCAGAGTTTACATGTCGTTTCGTGTACCAGCACGGATCCCAATGCTAGGAGTTTCTAATTTACAATTAAAAAGAAAAAAGAACTTTTCACTTTTCGCTATCCATTTATTAATAGAAATCAAATTTAATTGCACATCCAAATCCAACTAAAATCTTCTTCTGCAATTTCATTCCATCTCCAGGTACATACATCCATCGCTTCCTTTCTCCTTCAATTCCAATTTCAACCATTTCCCACAATCACCATCTTTGCATTCAAAATCGCCTTGACCTTTAAATATACCATTTTACAGTAATCAATCTTGTAAACTACTAGTAGTACTTGTTGTTGATGTGAAATGAAACACATAATGTTTCAAACTATATCTATATTTGTCCATTTCGCATTGTCTTCATTTATTAAAATCTAGTCTAAAATAGTACTATTTGTTGTTCTGTCTATTAGTTTGTGCAGCTGCATGCAACAATGGCTGCTGAGTTCTTGAACAACTTTAAGATTCCAGATTACATTCTTGTATCGGACTCCAAGGTTGAGAATTTTCATGAATGTGATCCGGTCTGTCCTGTCTTGGTCTTTATTAACTCCAAGAGTGGTGGTCAGCTTGGAGGAGAACTCTTGATAACCTATCGCGCACTTCTTAATGTAAAACAGGTATCATTAGTCTGGCATGGAGGTTATTTTCATTTCCACAATCTTCAAGTTTGCGAGTTAGTTCTCGAGAATCATGGATTGAATCCTTCGAACCGTATGAGTTGATCAATTTGGTTCCTGAAATTAACGATTTTCAAAATGATTCATAAATTTGTAAATTCTTGATTACACTAGTTCTTCCCAACAATTGCAGTGACTAAACTGACCCCAAAAAAGGTCAATGATTGTTGATTGAAGATTTTCAATTTCATGAGTTATTTTAAAATTGTTACTTTCAGAATCAAACTTTTGCTTACAATTTCAAAGATTGAAATGGTGATTCGTTTATGCAATTTTTGTAAGTGAGCTGTGTGGAGCAATGTAAATTTCAGGTCTTTGATTTGGGGGAACATCCTCCTGATAAGGCGCTAAGAACAATCTATGCTAATTTGGAAAGCCTCAAGAAAAGGGGTGATCAATTTGCTATGAAGATCATGGAGAGGTTAAAGTTAATTGTGAGTTGTGATACAAAATTTTGATAGGTTTATTTTACCATTTTTGTAAGCAAGCAAAGCAAATTTATGTTGCTACAGTCTTTCTTTGTTATGACTATCTAATACTTTGTAGTTGTCCTCAGGTTGCAGGGGGTGATGGAACAGCAGGCTGGCTACTTGGAGTTGTTTGTGATCTCAAATTATCTCATCCGCCGGCAATTGCTACTGTTCCCTTGGGCACCGGGAATAATCTACCTTTTGCATTTGGTTGGGTAGGAAAATTTCCACCCAATTTCCCTTTTATGTTTGAAGATTTTCTATTTTGATGATAAATGAGGAAGCAATTGGTTTTTGCTGCATTACAGGGAAAGAAGAATCCGGGGACAGATCAACGCTCAGTTGAGACATTTTTAAATCAAGTCATGAAGGCAAAGGAAATGAAAATAGACAAGTAAATAGTTCTTTCTTGGCCTAGTCTTTAATCCTAGAATACTTTTCTTTACCTCTATTGTGCCACGGCATAGATTTCTCCTGCAAATACTGTTTGATAATTGTTATTGGTTCTTCTATTACTTCAGCTGGCATATTCTTATGAGGATGAGAACTCCAAAAGAAGGTTCCTGTGATCCAATTCCGCCACTTGAGCTTCCACATTCTTTGCATGCCTTCCACCGTGTATCTGAAGCAGATGAACTTAATATGGTAAAACATCATACCATTAACTATATTGAAGATTGATCAGAAGATATTGGGTTAGTAAATATCTCTTTTTCGGTATCAACAGTACAAGCCTAATTGCTAGTGGGACAATGCAAATTAGTCATACAAAATGTTATGTAGGTTTTATTGAATTTTCTTCTTGATTTTAATATTTGAGTTTGTGGATATTCAAAATGATGGGCGGAAGTACTTGTTTTTCGAGATTTGTTTTATTTTAATTGAACTTTAGAAGAGGGTATTCTTTCCTATTCACCTCACTTCCTCTTTGTTCTAATCGTTTCTCAGAATGGTTACCTCACTTTTCGTGGCGGATTTTGGAATTACTTCAGCATGGGTAAGTAAAAATAGTTACTCCTCATTTCTTTTATTGTTTCTATGAATGTTTCAGATCTTAGATTATATTGGGAGAATTTGTTTCTAGGGCCACCTAACTTCAGTACTTGTTGAAATATCTGTGATTGCTGATTATAGGAATGGATGCTCAAGTATCTTATGCATTTCATTCTGAACGAAAGCTGAATCCCGAAAAATTCAAAAACCAGCTGGTAAATCAGGTATGTTGATAGCATTACTTTTTTGACTTTCTGACTATTGAATGGAAAGTCTAGAAAATTGTTTGAAAAGAGATAATTATACTTATTTATCTACTGTTTGAAACCTGATATTGTGTTCCTAATTTTGATTGGCATTTTAGACTACGTATGCTAAGCTTGGATGCACACAAGGATGGTTTTTTGCCCCTTTAATCCATCCTGCTTCCAGGTCAGTTCACTATTATCTGTCGTTGATAGCTTATATGACTTGCATATTTTTCTCGTAATTTTTACATTGTTTCTTACCGTCTCAAATGTTATGAAATGTAAATGCATAAATATTTACCCTTGTTACATAAATTTCTGGTGTTAACCACTTAGCGTGGCTTCACCATCAAGAGTCTACAGTTGGTAATAACTCCTTAGGGAAAAGGCTATCAACATTGGATAATGTCAAAAACTGAACTGATAGCAGATCCAATCTCAAAATTATGTAGGCGCCTGATAGGTTCAATTTAGTATCTAAAAGTAGAATCAGCAGAAAGAGAAATAGCAGAAATAAACAATAATCAGTAAGAAAAATATGAACTTTATTAAAAAGGATTAGAGATTAAACAGGATCTAATCACTTAAAGAAGAACAAAATTTTGCAGAAAAGTCAGAAAAAGATAAAAGAGGCTCTTAGAGAGGCCTAGACTCTCCCAAATGGATCTTATCCACTAAATTCTACATAGCCTCATTTCTGTCAGCCACCAATCATTTATGGGAAAATCTCTAAATTCTCTCTCCACTCACCAAAGGCCAGCTGTCCCACCCATGTGCTAATACAGATAGCAGAAATTGTACTATTCTATTACCCTCTCTCTCTCTTCCTTTCTTATGTTTTCTTTGATAGACTTTCCCATATCTACCAACTCTCCCCCCTTCAAGACTCTCCTCGTCCTCAAGGAGAAAAGTAGGAAATTCTGCCCTCATTTTCTCAACCGACTCCCAGGAATTTTCAAAGTTGGGCAGATGTTTCCATTTTACCAACACCTCTACCCCACCCTGCTCTCCCTGTTTCTATTCTACTGCCTTCTCAGGTGTTGGTTCCAAGTACCATTCCTCATTGATGCATGCTGGCAGAGGTTGAGGTGCCACAGCAGGTGATACAACTTTTTTTAACAAGGATGCATGAAACACTGGGTGTACTCTAGAATCCTCAGGAAGTTTCAACTTGTAAGCCACTGCACCTATCTTTTGGATCACTTCAAAAGGGCCATAATACCTAGGACTGGGTTTCTGGTTCATCCTTTTGGCCAACTTCTTCATCTTGTAAGGCTGGATCTTCAAGAAAACTTGATCCCCCATCTCATATTCCACCTCCCTTCTATGCTTATTTGCCTGATTTCTCATTACATCCTGAGCCTTAAGCAATTGTTCCTTCAACACTAAATTCCTCTCAGCAGTTAACCTATTCACCTCATCTACTGCTGATGGAGGATTATCTCCTCTGACTAACACAAGAGGAGCTCTCCCATACAGAGCTTCAAAAGGTGTAGTCCTTAGTGAGGCATGATAATTTGTGTTGTACCAATGCTCTGCCCAAGCCATCCACTTGGGCCACTGTCTTGGTTTCAGGCCTGTTACACATCTTAAATAGGTCTCCAAACATCTATTCACCACTTCAGTTTGCCCATCAGATTGAGGATGGTAAGCTGTATTTCAACTTGGTACCTGCCTGTTTGAATAATTCTGACCAGAACTGGCTCATGAAGACTTTGTCTCTGTCATATACTATAGAACTAGGAAATCCATGCAACCTCACCACTTCTTGAATAAAAAGATCAACAACTTCTTTAGCTGTGTAAGGGTGACTAAGAGGTAGAAAGTGGGCATATTTGGTTAACCTATCCACCACTACCAGGACAGTATCCACTCCATGGGCTCTAGGTAACCCTCCAATAAAATCCATAGAAATGTCACTCTAGGTCTGGGTTGGAATGGGCAAGGGTTGGAGTAATCCCCCAGGGCTCAAGGTTTCATATTTGTTTCTCTGGCACACTTCATAAGATTGGACATATTCTTGAATCTTCTTCCTCATTCCTTCCCAATAAACCACACTTGCAATTCTCTTATAAGTTCTCAACTGGCCAGAATGTCCTCCTAGAGCTATATCATGAAACTCATTAAGTATCCAAGTAATCCTTGGAGATTGTTTTGGAATCACTATTCTCCCTTCATGGTACAATCTCCCTTCTTTCATGTAGAACCCTTCATGGCTAGCAGGATCTATCAACAGGGCTTGCACTATAGCCTTTAACTTACCATCCTGTTGTATTTCCTCTTCTAAACCCTCCCAAGCTTCACATTGCCTGGT